CATCCTTGCCTTTTTATTTTTTTCGTATTTTATTAGTTTTTTATGAATGTTTTTTAGATCGATTCTTTTATTATTTTATGCATGGTTTTATATTAGTTTACTGTCTTTGATTTTAATTGATTTTACTTGGTTTTATTATTCAATTATATTTCTAGTCCTTTTTATGTTCGTGTATTTTACTTAAAGATTTTGTTTGATTTATGTTTCATTTGTTTTTATCTGTAAATGGTCCAGTAAACCAAGTATTACCAAGCTTTATAATAATTTTAAACATCCACAAGAACCATTGGCCTTGTAATCGCCTTCGGCGACTACTTTTGTTTACATCCGCGATATCACCATAAAAACATTGTCAACTACTCTGCTAGTGCCGTAGCCTCTGGAATTTAGCTGCAAGGCCCATCTTATCCTCGTTTGAAATGAAGCTAAGTAGAGTGAAGTTTTGGGCTACAAGGCAAAAGGGTGGATGTTATTTGAAGAAAAGTGCATTGTTTTCAATAATTATTTAAATTATTATACTGGACCGTTTTTAGCATTTATTTATAAACATTTTAGATTCAATTTTAGTGTCGCTCTTTTATGTTCAATTTTGTCTTATTTCAACTTTGATTTGTTAATTAATTTTGTGTTCAGTTTGCATTTCTTTTAATTTGAATTATTTGTGTTTTTTTACGTTCAGTTTTATTTAATAAATGTAAAACTTTTATTTTGTTTCCATTTTAAACCCCTGCCAGCCACATTGGCTATGCCAGACACTTTTTTTATTTATTTATACAAATGAAAGTAAAGATTATATAACAATGGGTATTAGTGAAACACTAGTGGCAGTGGAGGTAATGGACCTGGTGGTGGAGGTGGTGGTAATGGGGCTGGTGGTGGAGGTGGTGGTGACGGTACTGGTGGTGGCAGTGGTGGTAATGATGCTGATGTGGATGTGTTGATGATGGTGCTGGTGGTGGAGGTGGTGCTCGTGGTGGAAGTGGTTGTGGTGGTGGTGCAGGTCGTGGTGGCGGTGCTGGTGGTAAAGGTGGTGTTGATGGTGCTGGTGGTGGAGGGGGAGATGGTGGTGTATTATAATGACAATGATAATGATGTTATTATTATTATTATTTCTATGCCATTATTAGTATGAAAATTATTGGAATAGTTAACTATTGCTATTATTGCAGTAATTATCAAGATTATCATTATAATTATGATTTTACCATTATCATTATTATTGTCATTATCATTGTCATTATCATCATAATTATCATCATTTTTGTCAATAATAAAGGAGTTGTCATGGAAATCATCATATTTACCTGAATTCATGTTAAAATCCTCATAATTGCCATAAAAAAGCGAAAATGGTTTTTTTTTTCGACGTTTCTCTCAAAAGGCAGCAATTGCGCTAGATTTTGCCGATTTTTTTTTTTACTTTTGGGATTTTATTACTTTTCTGGCCTTTATTTCATTATAAATGGACTGAATAATAATTATCATCATTATTACTATTACTGTCATCATTTTTATAATAATCATTATAGTCATCATCATCATTATCATTATTATTATCATCATTATTGCAGTTATAATAATTATTATGCTAATTATTGCTATTTTTTATCATTAACTTTATATAATGATAATCTTAGAAATAATAATGACAATAATAATGATTATAATGACATGATATAATATTATTTCTATTGCCATTATTATTGGAATTAATTATTGCTATTATTGCAGTAATTATCAAGATTATCATTATAATTATGATTTTATCATTATCATTATTATTGTCATTATCATCATAATTATCATCATTATTGTCAATAATAAAGGAATTATCATGGAAATCATCATAATTACCTGAATTAATGTAAAATCCTCATAATTACCATTAAAAAGCGAAAAGGGTTTTTTTTTTCGACGTTTCTCAAAAGGCTGTAATACGCTAGAATTTTTCGACTTTTGGGATTTTATTACTTCTAGCCTTTATTTCATTATAAATGTACTAAAGGATAATTATTATCATCATTATTATCATTTTTATGCTTATTATCATTATAGTCATTATCATCATGATTATCATCACTATTGCAGTTATAAAAATCATCATGCTAATCATTATTGCAGTTTATAATAATTATTATGCTAATCATTATTGCTATTTTATCATTATAACTATTTATATAATGATAATGCAATAATGATAATCTTGGAAATAATAATGACAATAATAATAATTATAATGACAAATGATAATGATGTTTATTATTATTTTCTATTACCATTATTAGTATGAAAATTATTGGAATAGAGTTTATTATTGCTATTATTGGCAGTAATTATCAAGATATCATTATAATTATGATTTTATCATTATCATTATTATTGTTATTATCATCATAATTATCATGGAAATCATCCTAATTACCTGAATGAATGTTAAAATCCTCTAATATTACCAATNTGATTGGTTGTGGAGGTGGTGGTGATGGGTGGTTTTATTAGTGGTGCAGATGGTGATGGCGGTCTTTGTGGTGATGCTGCTGATGGTGGAGGTGATGTTGGTGAGGTAGTGGTATGGTGGTGGTAGTAGATAGGTTAAGGTGGTGGTGCTGGTGTTGGAGGTGTTGGTGCTGCTGGTTGTGGTGGAGATAATGGTGATGGTGCTGGTGGTGGATGTGGTGCTGGTGGTGGAGGTGCTGATGGTAGTGGCGGTGGTGGTGGTAATGGTGCTGGTGGTGGCAGTGGTGGTGATGGTGCTAGTGGTGGTGGTGGTGGTGCTGGTGGTGGAGGTGGTGTTGGTGCTGATGGTCAAGGTGGTGGTGTTGGTGGTGGTGATGGATGTGGTGGTGCTGGTGGAGGTTGTGGTCGAGGTGGTGATGGTTATGGTGCTGGTGCTGGTGGTGAAGGTAGTGGTGCTGGTGGTGGTGATAGTGCTGGGGGTGGAGGTGGTGGTGACGGTGCTGGTGGTAGAGGTGGTGGTGGGGGTAATGGTGCTGGTGTAGGCAGTGGTTGTAATGGTGCTTGTGGTGGAGGTGGGGGTAATGGTGGCAGTGGTGGTGCTGGTTGTGGTGATAGTGCTGGTGTTGGCAATCGTGGTAATGGTGCTGGTGGTGGTGGTGGTGATAGTGCTGGTGGAGGTAGTGGTGCTGGTGGTGGCGCAGGAGGTGGGAGTTTGTGCTGGTGGGTAGTGGTGATGGTGTGGTGCAGGTGTTGGTGGTGGAGGTGATGGAGCTGGTGGTGGAGGTCGTGGTGATGGTGCTCGTGGTGGTGATAGTGCTTGGTGAGTGGAGGTGGTGGTGACGGTACTGATGTAGAGTGGTGGTGGTGCTTCTGGTGGTGCGTGGTGGTGGGGTAATGGTGCTGGTGGTGGCAGTGGTTGTAATGGTGCTGGTGGTGGAGGTGGGGGTATTGGTGGTGTCAGTGGTGGTAATGGTGCTGGTTGTGGTGATTGTGCTGGTGTTGGCAATCGTGATAATGGTGGTGGTGGTGCTGGTGGTGGTGGAAGTGTTTGTGATGGTGGCGGAGGTAGTGGTGGTGGTGGTGCTGGAAGTGGAGTTTGTGCTGGTGGAGGTGGTACTGGTGGAGGTGGTGCTGGTGGTGGAAGTGGTTGTGGTGCAGGTAGTGGTAGCGGTCGTGGTGGTGATGATGCTGATGGTGGAGGTGGTGGTCATGGTGCTGGTGTTGAAGGTGGTAGTGATGGTGCTCGTGGTAGATGTGGAGGTGGTGGTGGTAGTTGTAGAGGGTGATGCTGGTGGTGTTAATGGTTGCTGATTGTGTCAGATGGTGGTAATAGGTGTTGGTGGTTAGAGGTGGTTCTGGTGCGTGGTGCAGTGTGGTAATGGTGCTGGAGGTGGTGGCAGTGGTGGTGCTGGTGGTGGTGGCAGAGGTGGTGCTGGAGGTGGAGCTGGAGGTACTGGTGGTAGTGATGGTTGTGGAGGTGGTGGTGCTGGTGGTGGCAATGGTGCTGGTGGTGGCAGTGGTGGTAATGGTGCTGGTGGTGGCAGTGGTGGTAATGGTGGTGCGGTGGTGGTAATGATGGTACTATTGGTGGAGGTGGTGATGGTGGCAGTGGTGGTAATGGTGCTGGTGGTGGCAGGGGTGGTAATGGTGCTGGTGGTGGCAGTGGTGGTAATGGTGCTGGTGGTGGCAGTGGTGGTAATGGTGCTGGTGGTGGCAGTGGTGGTAATGGTGCTGGTGGTGGTGGTAATGATCGTGCTATTGGTGGAGGTGGTGGTTGAAGTGGTTGTGGAGGTGGTGCAGGTGGTGGTGGTGATTGTGCTGGTGGTTGTGATGGTGATGGTGGTGGAGGTGGTGATGGTGCTGGTGGTGGAGGTGATGATGGTTCTGTTGGTGGAGGTGGTGATGGTGCTATAGGTGGTGGTTGGGTGACGGTGCTGGTAGTGGTGGTAATAGTGTTGGTGGAGGAGGTGATGGTGGTGGCAGTGGTGATAATGGTGCTGCTAGTAGTGGTGGTGGTGATGGTGGCAGTGGTGGCAATGGTGGTGGAGGTGGTGCTGGTGGTGGAAGTGGTTGTGATAGTGGTGTTGGTGGTGCTGGAGGTGGAGGTGGTGTTGGTGGTAGAGGTGGTGGTGATGGTTATGGAGGTGGTAGTGGTGGTGCAGGTGGTGGTGCTGGCGGTGGATATGGAGGTGATAGTGCTGGTGGAGATGGTGGTAACGGAGCTGGTGGTAATGGTGTTGGTGGCGTTGGAGGTGGTAATGGGTCTGGTGGTGGAGGTGGTGGTAATGGTGCTGGTGCTGGTGGTGGTGATGGTGGTGGCAGTGGTGGTAATGGTGGGTGGTGAGTGATGAATGGTGCTAGTGGTGGAAGTGGTTCTGGTGGTGGTGGCGGTGCTGTTGGTAGAGGTGGTGGTGATGACGGTGCTGGTGGTGCTAGTGGTGATGCTGGTGGATGTGGTAGAAGTGGTGGTGGTGGCGGTGTTGGTAATGGTGCTGGTGGTGGCAGTGGTGGTAATGGTGGTGGAGGTGGTGGTGATGGTGCTGATGGTGGCAGTGGTGGTAATGATGCTAGTGGAGGTGGTTGTGCTGGTGGTGGCAGTGGTGGTAATGGTACTGGTTGTGGAAGTGCTGGTGCTGGTGTGGCAATGGTGGTATTGGTGCTGGTAGTGGAGGTGGTGGTGATGGTGGAGGTGGTGCTGGTGGTGGAAGTGGTTGTGGTGCAGGTGATGGTGGCGGTCGTGGTGGTGATGATGCTGGTGGTGGAGGTGGGGGTCCTGGTGCTGGTGTTGGAGGTGGTGGTGATTGTGCTGGTGGAGGTGGTACTAGTGGTCCAGGTGGTGGTGGCGGTGATGGTGGTGATGATGCTGGTGCTGGTGGTAGTGGTTCTGGTGGTGATTGTGCTGGTGGTGGTGATTGTGCTGGTGGTGGGGGTGGTGGTCATTGCGGTGGAGGTGGTGCTGGTGGTTGAAGTGGTTGTAGTACAGGGTGGTGGTGGTGATGGTGGTGATTGTGCTGGTGATGGAGGTGGTGGTGCTGGTTGTGGTGGAGGTGCTGGTGCTGGTGTGGCAATGGTGGTAATGGTGCTGTTGGTGAGGTACCGGTGCTGGTGGTGGAGGTTGTGGTTGTGGTGATGGTGGAGGTGGTGGTGATAGTGCTGGTGGTGGAGGTGGTGGTGATGTTGCTGGTGGTGGAGGTGGTGGTGATGTTGTGGTGGTGAGGTGGTGTGAGGTGCTGGTGGTGAGTGTTTTAATTGGTGTTGAAGGTAGTGGTTGATGGTTGTGGAGGTGGAGGTGATGGTGGAAGTGGTTTTATTAGTGGTGCAGGTGGTGATGGCGGTCTTGGTGGTGATGCTGCTGATGTTGGAGGTGATGTTGGTGGAGGTAGTGGTGCTGGTGTTGGAGGTGTTGGTGCTGGTGTTGGAGGTGCTGATGGTAGTGGCGGTGGTGGTGGTAATGTTGCTGGTGGTGGCAGTGATGGTGCTGGTGCTAGTGGTGGTTGTGGTGGTGCTGGTGGTGGAGGTGGTGGTGATGATGGTCAAGGTGGTGGTACTGGTGGTGGTAATGGATGTGGTGGTGGTGGTGCTGGTGGAGGTTGTGGTCGAGGTGGTGATGGTTATGGTGCTGGTGGTGAAGGTAGTGGTGCTGGTGATGGTGATAGTGCTGGGGGTGGAGGTGGTGACGGTGCTGGTGGTAGAGGTGGTGGTGCTTGTGGTGGTGGTGGGGGTAATGGTGCTGGTGTAGGCAGTGGTTGTAATGGTGCTTGTGGTGGAGGTGGGGGTGTTGGTGGTGGCAGTGGTGGTAATGGTGCTGGTGGTGGCAGTGGTGGTAATGGTGGCAGTGGTGGTGCTGGTTGTGGTGATAGTGCTGGTGTTGGCAGACGTGGTAATGGTGCTGGTGGTGGAGGTGGTGGTGATGGTGCTGGTGGAGGTAGTGGTGGTGGTGCTGGAGGTGGAGTTTGTGCTGGTGGTGGTGGCAGAGTTGGTGGTGATGATTGTGGAGGTGGTGGTGCAGGTGTTGGTGGTGGAGGTGATGGTGCTGGTGGCGGTGGTGGTAATGATGGTGGTAATGATTGTGGTGGTGGAGGTGGCGTGGTGGTGATGGGAGTGGTGGTATTGGTGTTGGTGGTGGGGTGGTGGTGTTGGTGGTGGTGGAGGTGGTGTTGGTGCTGTTGGTGGTTGCGGTGCTGGTGGTGCTGGAGGTGGAGGTGGTGGTGATGGTGGTGGAGGTTATGGTCGAGGTGGATGGATGGTTGTGATGGTGGTGGTGGTGATGGTTGTGGTGGTAGAGGTGGTGGTGATGGTTGTGTGGTGAGGTGATGGAGGTGGTAGTGACGGTGCTCGTGATAGATGTGGAGGGTGGAGGTAGAAGTGGTGATGGTGTGGTGTTAATGGTGCTGGTTGTGTCAGTGGTGGTAATGGTGTTGGTGGTGGGAGGTGGTGGTGCTGGTGCCGGTGGTGGCAGTGGTGGTAATGGTGCTGGAGTTGGTGGCAGTGATGGTAATGGTGCTGGAGTTGGTGGCAGTGGTGGTAATGGTGCTGGAGTTGGTGGCAGTGGTGGTGCTGGTGGTGATGGCAGTGGTGATGGTGGTGGAGATGGTGGCGGTGGTAGTGTTTGTGCTGGTGGTGCTGTTAGGACTGATTGCCAACATGAAGAGGGCATTCGCGTATGTGGACGAAGATATGGTAAAGAAGATTATTAAAGCAATCATAAGACCAAGTCTTGAGTACGGTGCAGTGGTATGGAGTCCACACTTAAAAAAAGATATTGACAAACTGGAAAGAGTCCAAAGAGCGGCAACAAGATGGGCACCTACCCTAAGAGATCTGAGTTACGAAGACAGACTACAGAAATTAGGACTTACTACCTTGGAAGAAAAAAGGAAAAGGGGGGGACATGATAATGCTTTTCAACTGCATCACAGGAAGAGTGAAGATAGATAAGGATGACTTTTTGATCTTGAACACAAGAAGAACGAGAGGACACAACAAAAAGTTGACAGTGAAAAAGGTGATAAAGATGTCAAAAAATATAGTTTCCCAAACAGA